TAGATTTATTGAGGTTGATAGTGAAGTTGTTGGATTTGTGTTTAAACGTGTTTCTTGTAATCAAGCATTAGTTGTAGTATCTCATTTCTTTTCCGTATTTTCCTTTAGATAAAAATAATACGATTTTACGTCCGATAAAAGCAGTCAGTCTGGCAATTTTATGGTCCAATCAATTCTCTTGTAAAATACTTGAACTGTGAAATTAAAAGTTAGCAAAGATAAGCAACCAATAAAATATCGCAAGACGCGAATGGTGGGACAGTTAAATGGCATCACAAATATTGACTTGGCGGTTCCCCGGAGTTTTCCCGAGTTGTCGGCCGTGCGGGAGCCGGTTGGCGTGAAGCCAACCAACCTAGCCATTTGTGTACCTACACTACACTCAACCCTGAGACGTGTTATGGAAATTTTCTTAATTTCACAGCTCTATAGATACCGCTCCGTAGATACGAACAACCGTTAATCTTCATTGGCAATTTATATGTAAAGATGTTACGCCCCCACGGTGTCGTTTAATCTATTATTGTCGCTGAACACAATGTATTGGAGCAATTTTTACTACTTACATACTCCATTTGTATGCAAAAAGAAAACATATAAAACAAATGCTTTATCTAAGCAAGTTGCAAGTATTTTAATTAATTACTAATGTACTTTTAAATTGAATACCGCTGCAATCGGAAAGTTGACGGGTTTGGAAATACGAGGAGAATATTAATTAAAAGTTACGTTTCTCATTCTCGTGAAGAAATTACTTCTAAGTAAAAAGTGGTTTCGCGGGCGGATAATACCACAATGTGTTATTACAGACTGAGTTAATCCGCTTTTGTTGTGAGTTCTGAAAGCATTTATCGGGCTTTGTGTCTTTTCTTACATTCTTCTGCTCAATACCGCCACTGAGAGTCAATCAGTGCGATAGCTATAATAAACACTGCCGGTAAATTACTTTCCGTTGAGGATTAATTTCTGATATAAAATTGAATATAGTTACTGAAGGTTGACGATGAATGCTACGAGATTTTTTTATATTTATTCAGTGCTTTCGTCTTCGCTAATGAACAAGTTCCCGGCTTAACACGAAGGCCGCCATACGAGGTTATTCCGGCCCAGGTAAATGTTATTAGTGAAAGCTTTCGTCTTAGCACCGTGTAACCGCCTTAATGACGTCAATTTGAATACGACCGACTTGTCGGCTCCACTCCACTCCACGGTAATGTAAATTTCCCGCTCGTGTCAGCTTCGAAAGCCATAGTTTCCTAGTATTATTTGACACCGAAAATGGGCTGTCAATCAGGGAACGATTGTATCGAACTGATCCGAATGAGCAATTTGGCGATCAGGCAACTTGAGCGTTAATTTATGTATTGCTCGGTGTAACCTTGCGATTAATGGATGTGGGATTTCGAACTGGGAATGAACATTATTTGAATATCGGTTTTAAATGTCAGTACAATTATCGTATGTCGTTGTATCATTGGATATGAAAATAGGTTGAAAGGCCGCGAGGGACTGGCGCGACCCTTCGGCTTACATACATAATTACTGATGTCAGTACTCTGATTTTGTTTGATTATACGTGTTGCCGTATAATCCGTGTGCGTGTTAAATGCGTGATTTATGTCTCGAATTGAGGCCAGCTAATTATCCCTTTTCATTTCCGTTTTTTTCGATTCAAAGAGCCGAATTGATTGATTAAAGTATTAACGCCTAAATCATTGTCCTTCCAGCCCTCGTATTAAAGCTACATTAACTTTTAATGTCCCTTAAACCATCTTTTTGGGAGGTCATCTTTTATGAACAGTAACCATCTGGGTAATATACCCATAAACTTTTTATTATAAAAAGTCTTTTCGTGTTTTTACTAACAGGAAAGGAATGAGATTCAGTACCTTTTTTGGAGCTTTGTTTTGATTAGTTTTTATGATGATGTATTTTATTTATGCATTTTTTAAATAATACCTACTTTTATTTAGTTTTTTCTCGTGGCTCGAAGATAAGACTAACCTTATTGCTAATCTTGTTTAATTATAAAAGTGAAAGTTTTACGACTAGACAGAAGATCTAACATAATATATAGCAAGTCTTTTTTTTTAAGGTGGGAATATCATCGAATGACCTCCTGGGTGAGGCGAGAGGGAGTGTCAGACTCTTACTGACTAAAAACCACCCCGTTCCTTCTCCTGCACGTCGAGCCGGAGCCCCGGCTACCCGTTAGGTTCTCCGCGACTCCACCTCACCAGTTATGGGGAGTCATGCGGCGGTTTTTTGAGATCAGTTATTTGCAATCGTTAAAATGCTGGTAATCTGGATAAGAGTTAGTTCCAAACACAAAATAAATTTGTAAAAAGTAAAAAACTAAAAGAAAGAAAGGTTTTTGTTTAAAAGGCAATAAACTATTACCTATGTAAATAGGAGAAAAGTACCTAAATATAGAAGTATGGTAGTCATTACCTCATAATATTTAGATACTTAATAGACCTACAATACGAAGGTAGCCACATGTCTTACGTGCATAATGTATTAACGGGTCACCCGATAATTAACTCCGCTAACCACCGACTAATTGTGCGTATTGAACTAGTTGCATATAGTGGAACATAGGTACTGAACTAAATGTATAATGTGGTTAAGTAAGTCTCTTTCATGGGGCTGTTTGTAACATTGTTATGATATTTTGAAAACGACTAGACATTGTTACAAAATGTTTAGGTTTAGTAATTAACTTAATTAGAATAAATTCACAATCATTGTTTTGTAGCAGACATATTATACGTCGATTAAAAGAGCTGTAGATGTAAAAATATTACCCACGATGTCCATCGTAATTTTCAAAAACACGTAGCTTAAGATTATCGCCACAATATAATAAACGTTACAATAATAGTAATACACCAAAACACATGGCATTCTATTTTACAACAAAAAATTATAAAATGCTTTTTCTCGGGCTAAAGTAATGAAGGCCATCTGTACCCGGTACCCTTACTAAGCGACTCCCGCTTGATTTTTCCGCCCGTATCTACTTTCCCTTATCAAAATTTTGATGACACGCATCCAAGTCACCATGGTAGGTACATTTCCCCTTAACTAGACCATAAACGTTGCCCTCTTTTCTACTAAAGATCATTTGATAAGATTACTGGATACGAGGACGCTCCCAAAAGACCCTTTTAAAAGATACGTGACGCAAACAAAAAGAGCGGACCACAACAGCGCCTTACAAAGCGACATAATCGAATCATACCTGCACTACGTGGGCATTGGATGGACAAGAATTACATTTTTCCATTTACTCACAACAAAAATATCTTGTATTAACGGAAATTGCAAAAAAATCTAACATTTTCGTCCGACCGACCTAACGTGCGATACGCCGTAAATAACGCTACAGATATCGAGTTTTATAGCGCGGCTAAATGGGCATTAAAAAAGGAAATTTGTTGGAGAAAATACTAGCTACCAAAAAGGTTGTATGCTTTAATATTTACTGCTTTTTGTTTCTGTCGTGTTAAATAATCCTATTACATAAAATAGGTTGCTGATGTGTGCGCTCACGGACGCGGAACTAAGACGGCCGCAAACTCCAGAACCTTTCTTAGAAAAGTCGGGCCGGCTTCTGTATAATAGGACGCTCTAATAAACCGCAGCACGCCTCCCGGCTGCGCTCGCTAGTCGTCGGACGTAAATTTATGATATCGTTTAAATGGAACATCGTGAACGAACTCTGTAATTCATGCAGCCTTGCTTCCTACTCGATTACCTGAAATACGTGAGAGCTTAGCTGAGTTATTCTTAGAGATATCTACAACTGAGATAGATAAGAGAATACAAAGAAAATGTACGATAAAATATAACACGCAATAGCGTCTGTTTGGTACAGTTACATAATGTAGACACATTATCGCCGCGTGTTTTGACACAAGTTGTTTTTGTTCTCGAACTTTCACAACAAACTTCATGTTCTGTTCAGTGGGTACAAAAGAAAGATTCTTTATTCACTTAGTTCAGTTTACCTAATGTACATAATTAAGTGGATCTCTTAGAGGCTTTGTTTCTTTGCTTAACCAAGTCGAAGTTGTGGTACGGTGAGTTAAAACATTTTACGTAATAACTTTATTTTAAACCTTACAACTTTAACCGGGAATGTTTGTGAGGATCTTCGTTAGTCTTTTACGTGAATGAATCTATGTACAGAGATTTTCCAGGGCTAGGGATGGAAAATTAATGTATTACATAATTACATGATACTATGCTGCATACTTAACGTGGGTGGAACCACAAGTGGAGTGCTAGTTTTATTTCTACTTTGTAGTAGGATTTGTATCCGTATCAGTTCTTGTTTCATATTGAGATAACCTTTATACATTAAATACACTAATAAATAGCTCCTTTTAATATACTCATTGCGAAGAAAGTAGGCATGTATTCCGCTTTCTTTGTTTTACAAAATTAATTGAATTTTCGTCAGAGCACCACTTTCACGCTGAACACGTCATAACAAACCGAAAATTCCGAAAATTGTTTACTTCAGAACTCCTGTCAATATTTCACAATATTAACAGCTTGATGAAATATTGTACCAAAACACCGAGGGTAACCTTCATTTCATTTTACGCTGTTTTCAAAGGATTCTTCAGGCTTTTTTCATTGACTGTAACGATTTCTATGAGCGTCAATCAATGTGAGATTAAATAAATAACATGACAAATACAGGACGGAATTTCATATAGGATATAATATTCAGGGTTTCATTTCAGGAAATTGAAGAAAGATCTTCTTACTCGTGCTCAGATTACAAAACATAAATAAATATTACCAATATTCGTCAATTTATCTACTTATGAGAAATGTTATAATAGCGGCTCATTAAAATTCATAAAAATAGACAAAAGGAGAGAAAAAACGTTGGTATCCTTTAATAGACTATCTTTTACTATATATGTATAACAATATAACACCAAATGTATAATCTTAATTAAGTTTATTTCTTTGTTATACAGTGGATACGACGGCACAGTACGATGCAGTGCGCGCCTACCTCAAAGAACTGGACATTTCGAGCGCTGTGTGGGTTGGTTTGATCCGAAGCAACCCCGATGGAGACTTTACTTGGACGTATGTTTTATTATTAACTTATTACTGGTACAATTATTGAAACGTTTGCCTAAAATCTAAGCTATAGGCTGAGAATGAGCACTAGTTAACTCATAGAGTTACTTACAATTTAATTTGGTGTTTTCAAGACGTGTTCTGGATCGGTAATTGCAAACATTGTATCTTATTTATGCTTTATTATTTCAACTTAACTCGCATTGATCAAGCGTGGTGATTGATGCTCAAACATTCTCGGTGTGAGAAGAGGCGTCGCTCAGCAGTGGGCATTTATAGGCTGTTGATACACATCAACCACACACACACATCATCACACACACACACACACACGTGTGTGTGTGTGATTTCAACTTAATGATACCTACTTAGCTACGTTGTGAATTCAAATTCTTTACTTTATCCCAGTGCAGCCATTAAAGTATTGAGACCTTACTTAGGTATGTATGTACCTACCTACTCTTTGAAATTTGTTTTGTACTTAGTGATTACCGAGGTTTGAGTGGTGAAGGGTACTGGAGTTCAGCGCCCGATGCTCGCGCAGCTCCTCTCTGCGCAGCCGCCGATCCTGCTGCCGACTACCGCTGGGAGGCTCGCGCTTGTGGTGGACCAACAGTCGCTTCTTTCATCTGTGAATTACCGGGTTCGTTGAAAATATTTTTGATACGTTTACTATAGCCAAAATAAGAGAATGTGTACTTAAGAAAATGCCAGTAGTAGTTGCCAATTTTGAAATAATAATTACCCTTTTGTCCGCCGGACTGAACAAATGGAACCTCGGAGCCAAGTTTCGATTAAAATGAGGTCAACATAATATATACTCTTACTATAAAATCAAATTAGATATTGAAAAACGGTGGAGTGTACGTACTGTACATAGTTAGAAACAAACTTAATGTTTAACCTGATAGTACTAAACTAAATTTCGTATACTAATAAAGTACAATATAAATCACAATATCCTGGCTTATGTACGTAAATACGTATATAACAGTACTTAGGTAGTTTGATACAATCTCAACACAAATAAAGGCTGGGAGCTAAACATCTTAGTTTAGTAGTTGCTTCGTAAAGTAACTTTACGATAGCTTAGAATCTTGTGCAATGTAATACACAGTACTATTTACCTTGCTAACTAGACGATAAGATCTAATACAATTTCCTTTTGTATGCAGTACCGCAATGGGCTCTTGGGAACGAAGGATGTATGGTGCGCGCTCTACCAGCGCTGACGATCCTGTATCTGCCTGAAAGTGCAGCTGTTCAGCTGACCGCTGACTGCGGCCTAGCTGGTGTGAAACGTGTACAATGCACAGGCAATGTGGTAAGATGGCGAAATCTTCTTTCTTAATTAATGTTAACATTGTTTTGGAATCAGATTTTTTAGGTTCATTTTCGTTTTTCACAGAAACGCGAAGATTTACTTAGAGACTTGGCGTGCGCTGAAGAAGAAGAAATAAGTAGCACTCCTAGTTTAACATCTGTAGGTAATAATTGGCCAGCTTCAACTGATGCAATATTTACTGATAATGATATGACAACGACTGAAGTCATCACTGAAGACAATAATATAACAACTGAACATGAAGACGACATTAATCAGTCTAGTACTATCGTATCTACCTCCACAGTTCAAGATGTGAATTTCGTCACTGATCAGAAACCATCGGTCACGTTTGTTAATGCAAATAAATATAACAGAGTTAACTTTGAAAAGAATCTTGATTTGGGTTTAATTCATAACAATAACTTACAAAGTAATTATATTCCGAAAATTGCCAACGGAGACAACTATGTGACAAATGAAGATTTGGAAAAAATAGAAGATGAGAAGCACATGCAACATAAAATGTTACACGAGGAAATAGCAAGGCTTGGTAATCTTGAAAATATATTTACACAACCTACAGATCATTTTGTTCCACCACTAGTTATGGCCAAGGCTAAAATCAGCGATGATATGACTGTTCTATCTCTACAAGAAAAACATGCCCAACAGATGGCTGAACAACACTATTATAAGCAAAACGGTCAATATGGACAAAGTGATCACATTTATCAAAGCAATGTTGTAAAATCAACAACGGAACAACCAAAACCAGCTACAATGGATAAACAATCTCAAACAGAGACACCTAAATATAAGGATGACTTGAAAAAAGACAAAGTGAAATCAATTATGCCCAAAAAGTATAACGAAAAATTGAATGACCCTAAAAGTAAAGCTCAGAAAGTGGCTGAATCAAAATTATTGGAAAAGGCCAAAACATCTGCTGCACAAATGGAAACTACAGTAAAACCTAGCGAAACTACACCAATGGCACATTTTAATGAAATGGATGACGAATCCGCTATGGATCTAACTGTTTTCTTAAAAGACGAACCAGAACCTCTTGAACCAAAAATTTATTACAATAATTTTACTGGTGACGTGTCTAAATTAGAAGTAATCAAAAACAGTACATATAATAATGATACCGAAATCAAATTAGTGGATGTAGAAGCTACCGAAGAAATAAAGCATGAAGAACGTCCTATTAAGAAATTTAAAGAATCAACTCAAAATATAACATTAAATCATGAAGTGATTAAAATTACTATAATTTCTGAAGGTCATACAACTGAGAACCCTACTACGTTTGAAATAACTACAAAAGTGCCTATTATTCAAGAAACTACTCGTAACAATTTGGAATCAACCACTCATAAAGAATCGCTCGATGATATTCGAAACAAAAGTGATGTGTTCCCAACTACGCAACTTGAAATAGAAGCAACACAACATGAATTTGAATCGGTTATCAATGTTTCAAGCGTTGCTGATGTGGTGGTGACCACAAATGAGACAGTTGTACTAAGTCATACCGAGTCGACTGAAAATACACCCACTACAACCAACGAAGTGCCTATTGCTACTACAGTACAAGCTAGTTCTAACACTTCTCAATACAGTAAGCCGCAAGAGCCTTCCACGTTTGCACCTGCAGTGACTGAGCAGATAATAAAAAACGAATCTTACAACGACGATATACATGAAGAATTCGGTGCAATGACTAATTCGTCAGATGGAATTGATGATTTCCAATCGCCATTACTTTCTGGTGCAAATGAACCAGCACACAGACCGAATAGGTCCCGGAGGCCACAGCAGCCGAATCGAAATAAATTTAATCCATTTCGCATATTAGGTTAGATATAGAATATCATACACCAATAACTATTGAATGAATTACTGGTGATGACTGAACAAAACCGTAACATCTAACGTAATTAGATATAGTGGATCACAGTCACATTATAAATTGTGATGGCACGGTGCACGTAGTTCATTATATTGTTATGTTCGAACGTTTAGGTAAATAGGGGATAGGAGGGATGGAAATCATAATCACAAACAAGAACATTATGAATGTCAGTTCGGGTACGGATTTCCGTTATTACCGTGTTTACATCAATAGCTAACCTTTGTAGTTTCATAACATGTTTACTCATACTCATATAATTATAATTATGTTTACGTGTAGCACTTTATTTCAAAATGTATTTAAATATTATTTAGATTAGACTCATAATGTATTTAGTCTATAACCTAGTCAATTCATGTTTTGATAGCATAGCTATTTAATAAACTTGTTTTTATAGTATCGATAAGGTACCCATAGATTTCAGGTTTGCCAAATTTCGAATATCTTCATATTAGTATGTACATTAGTACTATATAATACTGGATGAGTTTCACTTTAGAAGTAGTTTCATAGGCGCCATTGATACATTCATACTTACACAGTAGGTTAGTTCGTAAATGGATTAATACAAACGAAATTCACGAACCATATCATGTTAGAAATAAGGTTTAGTTTAGCGAAATTTATTTTTTATGAATCTTAAGGTAAATAGTAAGATGATGCACAAACGAGTCAACGACAAAGATTCGCACTACATGACTTGGAATACAAGATCAAAACCTATTCAGAAATATTCAAAGAACTGTCATGTAGCTGTAGATCCTTTGTAATATTTTTTTTATAATTATGTAGTCTCCAAATTATGTAATAAGATTTTTTAATAAAAATTATAAAATATTTATAATGTTTTTTTTATTTTAAATTCGACGTACTTGTATAGAGGTAAGCTACAATAAAATCTCGTTACCACGATTATTACAAAATTTTACGAAACTAACTAATGTTAACTTTACACATTATCTCAATATTTATTATCCGATATGACCTCCTCAAGGGTAAATCATGTTTAACGCTTGCTCAAACTGAGTTCATCAGTAAATCCGAGAGGCGAAAGGCTAGTCTATTAAAAGTTTTTACTTTCCGAAAGGCATTAATATGAAAGTTCTAGCTCGATATAAGAATGCGGGGAAAATTCGTAAGTTTCGAGAGACTCAACCGCAGCCAATATTTGCCGAGCGCTTTGCCGCCACCTCACTCAACTTGCTCGCTCTTCAAGGGCCCAACTCCAACTCAATTTTCTCTTCGAGACCGTTTATCAATATTACTTATATCAACTTCGATAAAATTCTCAGGTTCGGCACAATTCACTTTGGGTATATTTTCCTTCGTCATCTCACAATATAAGTTTTTCACTCCGTCCCCGATTTCTCCCTCCAATCGTATTTAATCTGGTATTGCGAAATCGTATAGGTGACTTCCGAAATAGAAGAAACCCGAGTTCAATAAAATACACGTACCTGTGGGCAAGGTGAAATCGAAAACGTGATTAATTTTGAGGGATCTAAGCTGTATTCATGAGAAAAGTTGCCAAGGTATTTTATTTAAGCCGTAATATCATTCCACGGGATCATCCGGTTGAATAATAATACGAACTTTCAATGTGCTGTAGGCTTTATTTGGTCCTTATGTATTGTTGCTCAGAGGGACGAATTTCATTCAGAACCGGGCCAAACAATGAGCAAATAGTTGGTAAAGTTGATATATATTTACACAACAACAAAACTGCTGGAGACAATATGAACGTTTATGAAATTTTTATATTAATATTTGATACCATTTTCACGAGGATTATGTTTTCTGAACAACATTAGAGTTACACAATGAATTTCATAATGCGGTTTGTAAGAGAAGCTTAAATTGCATTGTCTCTGCATGAAACTGCACCACATGGCGACGTAACGTAGGTAAGTATCTGTTTGTGTACGGCTAATTAAAGGAACTTCCACGAGTTGTTAAACAGTTATTTCAAGGTTCGATCACTGGATTGAGCAAAGAATCATTGATATTTTATACTTTACCTTAACTTTTTCAGTAATATAAAACTTAGCATTTAGGCTGGCATTAGTGTCACGCTGACCGTAGGCTGATCGTCGGCGCTGACAGCCGAGATATATGAACTACTAGCTGTTGCCCGCGCTTTGTCCGCGTAGAATATGATTCCTGTTTTATCCAATGGCAGCATTTAATGGGGATAAAAAGTATCCTATCACCTAAGTCAGCCCATACCCTGCCTGTATATCGTCAAATTCTGGTCACTAGTTTCAGCGTGATTTCCAGAAAAAACATCTTAACTAAGAAACTTTCATATTTATAATTTTAATGTGACTAGAAACCAGCCTACGCGCTGATAGCTACGCGTCATTCAAAAACGCTTTCTAGAAGTTCATATAACTCGGCTGTCAGCGCCAACGGTCAGCGTGCGGTCAGCGCAACTCTAAAACCAGCCTAAGTGTGGTAAATAACATTCTCATTCAACGTGAGTTATTCAAAGGATTAGACAGATAGTATTAAGTAACTGTTAACTGTAGCCAAAGTCACGACAAACTTAGTTCTGTTTGTGGCGTACCTACGTCCTTTAGACGTTCTAGCTTACTTGTGTCTCAATACGACTTTGACAAAGTTGAATATTATTACATAGGTAAATCAAACTTCGTTTTGAAATAGTGTAACAATGAATACTTACCTACGGAAATGCAAAAAAACAACTAGGTGGCTAATAATATTATCATCAACATCACAGAACAGAAAACAGGTATTTTCTTTTTAGGGGGGAAAATGATGAATGGTACTGATGAATTAAGGTCTCTTTTCTAAAGAGGTCTACATCACATGTAGGTACCATATGAGGCTTTTTGTAATTTGGGGGATGGGGATTGACCTATTAGTGATCCCCTGACTAAGTAGTCAGGGGATCACAATATAGACATAATAGGTCACCGAGATTTTAAACATAACAATTTTATTAATACGCATATTTTTACAAACTTTAAAAAAAAGAGAGGGTTGAAGTTAAAAAATAATAATTATGAAATTAGTCAAACGCGCATAGATCTCTACTACCCATATTATTATAATTTTACAATATTTCAGAGTATCCTACGAAAAACACACCTTTTCAAACCTGCAAAGCAACTCTGTGTTATAAGCGGACCTTAGAGCATTTAATCTTTCTTTTCTTGCTACATAATCCTCTTATAATATTACAATAAGAAACAAGAACATTTTCTACGAAGTAACGAGTTAAGTAGAGGGAAAATTCTTAAAGGTATCTTCGTCATAAGTGAGCCAGCGAATGAATTGTTAGGAGAAATGTATCAGGAAATTAATAAAAGAAAATAACGTGAAAAGGACGAGATTGCTCCTTCCGCGTGTTATTACACTTGAGAAGAACAGAATTATATAACTCTTTGAGTAAGTAAGTGTTGTATGTATCTGAAGGAAGGGAAAGGAACATGGGATGTGTCTTGTAAACAATATCAGGATATTGGTTTGAATCCTGTCCTATTTATTATGTGTACTTTGGTAGTCAAATTATCAGTTGGAATGCACCTGAAAGAGTAGCACTGAGCATTGAACATAATTTCAATGTCAGTGAGTCCGGTAAATGTAAGATCGTCCTTAGTAACCCATTATCAATGATTAAATTATTACGATTTCGGCACGTAATAATTTGACGAGGAATTCGGAAGTTGCCGAGTAGCAGCGCGACAGTCGCCGCGTCGCGGGTCGCGAAATGCTGCTCATGAATATGCGCCTCTAGCGTGGCTTGAAACTAGTCGAGTTCCTCGTCAAATTATTACGTGAGTAAGCCGAAAACATAATAATTTATTTAGCATGTCTCACGAAAGTTACAATACAAATATCATCAATGATGGCTAAAATAGTGTATAAGTTAGTAAACTTTTCCCCGAATACTGAAAGGTTACTCAATTTTAAATTGTACTTAAATATAGTGCCATCTCTTTCATTTTACAAAAAAATCGAAGTGACAGAACTATACTTGAATTTGAGTGACGTTTGAGTATTTCAGCGTTAGCTATTAAGCGTAGATCATAAGTTATCAAGTCCATCCTCATGAGAGTCATTGTCATTTATGATAATCCTTCTTAATTAAAATAAAGAAGAACAAATTTCAGTTAGCTCGACCCAGAATTAGGAAATGGGCCATTTATACTTTTTCAAGATTATAATAAAAAAAAATAGATGAACAGCTTTTCGAAAAGTAACAGGAACGATTTAAAACAGGCAGGTATAACTCTTCGGTTGTTGCTGTTGAGGATTTCGGAGCCGAAAGAATTATTTCACGGAACCAATTCGTCGGATTACTACTGCAGAATTGTTGACTGATCGAAGACAGTGCAGAGCCAACGAAACAGTTTTCCTACAAACATTGCTAACACAATGCATTGAGTTGGAGAAACAAAACCACATTGAAGTAGATCCAATTTCGAGAATCATGACTTTTGATGCTTCGGTGCTCTATTTTGCTTCTATTATTTCCATCGGTAGTGGAAGAAATTTTTTTCTGACTAACTCGAACATGTAAATCCCGATCAACTGTTAGTCAGTGAAATAAAAGTATATATTTAATTTTAAAAGGTTTCATGTACATACTTGTGTACAAGAGGTTTTTGTAACATACACACATAGTTGATTTTGTTAGGATTAGATTTAACATAACATCACGCCTTTTTGTCCCTGAAGGGGTAGGCAGAGATGCACACAGAAGTTACACAAACTTTTCACTATTTATGTTATGAGTCCCATGTAATAGGGGTGAGCCTATTGCCATATACCGGACACATTTCCAGACTCCGTGCTACTACTGAGATATAAAAATAATACTTTTCCCGATCCGGGAATCGAACCCGAGACCCATTGCCCGTCAGTCGCACGCGTTCAGGGAGGATTAGAGTTGTAGGGTAAATTATACTCTTATTGCCACACCTGTAGTACTACTTTACGAAAGCTAAGTACCAACTTTATTGAATTGTTTGCACTCTTAATAATGTAATCAGCAACGCAAACTCTATTAAGACGTATTAAAGTCCAGTTTACTAGAAGCCAAACGTACTCACTGGAAGAGCAGAGTTAATGAAATCACTGGACAAGGAAAATAAACCAAATAAAATAAATGGTCGAATCGCTCTGAAGAAACATAAATATTTCGTGATTTGCTATGTATTTTAATTCAGAAAAGTAAAACAATCGAAGATGAAATCAAATCTTCTGTGATGAATGAGGAAGGTAGGCTTAGGTATAAAATTATATCCAGCCTGCATTTTTCACCAGATTTATCTGACCATAGCCTGACTCCTACAGAATAATAATTAACACAATTTTTTTTGTTAAAAATGAAAACATCTTGCAATGATTAACGATGTATGTTTCACCTAATACAGTTCTACGTTACACGACTTTTATCGAATACAACAAAATCTTTTATAAAATATAGAGTCATTTAAAAAAAAGAATCTTCAGACAGACTGCAATGGCTATTATTAAATATTAGTTGCAAAATAGGTCAGTAATCTTAATAACACACAACGATAAAAAAGAGGGATCGAAAGATTTGTTCTGCAATATTCAAATGTACACCATTAGCATGCGCGAATACTCCAGGGTACACCGTCCGTATTAGTTTGCTACGCACGTATTTGCCGTACCCATAAAAACCTTTGAAAATATCTACATACGTACGAACATGCCTACACACATTTCTCGTACCTATCGATACTAGTCGATGGCTTTGTAACCTTTGTCACATTTCAGATGTTTCTTTTTTCTCTTACATCAAACTAATTACC